CGACTGCGAAATGCTCTATTCGGAGTACAATAACAAATGATAAGAAACAGGTAAAAGTGAAGAAAATTTACACAAATCTAATAAAATAATGCTTTAAAATTAAAATTATCAAAAAAATGTTGATTGTATAGAAGTGAGAGTGTCCGAGTGTCCACTATACCCATTTTTCGCTTTTGGTTAGTGTATAACAAGTGCAATATAGAGAAGTGCATAGAGCAGTGATTGGCAGCTCGACATGAGCCCAGCGGCCCGGGAATGCAGCTCCACCCAGGAGCCAAAGAGCGGAACTGCAATGCAAGTGTTGAGTAGTTGGGTCAGAAGAAGAAAAACCTTCATAACCTAAATAGGAAAATTATTGCATTAGTTCTGTCTTCTGTTTCTTGTCGTTAGCTCCAGGTGATGTGGTGATGTGTTGGTGTGTGTGTGTGTGTGTGTGGCTGGTAAACAGGTGCGCTCCACTTGCACAAACTGAACGATGGAAATTTCGGCTGCTACCCCCGCTCAGAAATATTCAATACTAACTCTCACACACACACTGATACAACGCACGATACCGATACCGACACCGATACACGTACACAAACACTGACACACACACACACACGCACAGCTCAACGGAACGACTAGAAAATGCGGGTCTGGGTCGTCATCGAGACGAGACGGCGAGAATGCAAGCACATAAAGAACGCCAAAAATAAGTTTAAAACTAACGACAGTCTGGTGCGTGCATGCGTGTGTGTGTGTGTGTGTGAGCAGGCAGCATAATAAGCGCCAAGTGTGTGAGAGCGAGCAAGGGGAATTGCTTGTATGTGTGTGCGTATTTTGGAGCATGCAACTTTTCGTGCTATTGCCAAATGCGTTCGTTGGCTCAAGAGAGGGAAAGAGATATAGAGTGACGGAGAGCGAGCGAGTGAGTGAGCATTTGAGTGGAAGGGGGCAAGGTAGTAGAGCGAGAGAGTGAGGCTGGACGAACAAGTGCATGCGTGCGTACGTGTATGTGTGTGTGTGTGTGCGTTAAGGGTCACTTAACGAAACTTGCAAGTGCAAAAGCAATGCAATTAACTAATTAACGGTGTTTCTTTTTTTATTTTTTTGCATCAAAAAGTTCATTAACACAATATTCAAATGTGCTAAAGCGCACATTGTATGCTCATTCATAATGAAGCAAATACACGCAATTCCCCCCAACAAAAGAGCCTACAAAACACGAACCCACACACACCCACATCAGGCTAAGATATGGCAACCACAAATGTGTATATAGATAACGGCAACCCCGTCAACCAAACATAAAAACTTAGCCAAGCGACAAACTGAAAATATAAGAAACAAAAAACGAAAACAAAAAGTAGCAGCAGATAATAAAAGCGAGCGCCTAAGCATGGCGTCACTGAGACGGCCACACGCCTAACAACAACAACAAGAAGAAAACACCAAGCGCCTACCCTACCGGAAAAAAATAACACGGTAAAAGCTGTAAAAATTGTCAATATAGAAAAAAGAGACGAAAAAAAGTCAACGCTAACCAACAGCTTGCAAAATAATGTGCGCGAGTGTCGAAGAAGCCGCTGACATCGACGTAAGCGTCGAAGTTAGCAGCAGCAGCAGCGGCAGCGACTGAGGGTTTTTTTTAACGAGCCGAGTGACAAGCGCACACTAGTACGAGAACTCAACACACAGCACACACACACACGCATACACATAACGACATGCACACGCGACGCAGACGCCGGCCGCAGCAGCAGCAGCAGACCGGTTGAGGTTAAATTGGATAGGGGAAGCAGATGCGATGGGCAAGGCGGACGGCGGGAGTACTGGCTGGCACGCCAAGGCATACATATTGAATTTTTCTTCGACGTAATGAAAATTTTAGCGTGTCGATGGAATGACTATGCTTGGCGCTATGTTATTTTACAGTTTTTTTTTGGACACTTACCGTGCAAAGAGCAAAAAAGAGTAGAAAATCCGTTAAGCTGCTTGTTGTTGTTGTTGTTGCTGTAGTTGTGGGCGCTGCTGCTATTGCGACGCTGGCGTCCAGCCTCTTGGAATTTATGCTAATTTTCCAAGCTCACACACATACACACACGCACACAACCGCACGGAGGAAGTGCACAAAAATTGTATAATTTCTGTGCTTTGAGAAATTTCACTTTTTTGCAGTTGCGTTTGCTAATTTGCCTTATTTACTTGCACGCCCGCTTCTACATACATATATAATATATATGTTTATGTATATACGCTTGCTTATTTATCTGCTATATATACATATGCACGTATGTATAAACGCGTGTACACTGTGCGCCTTTAACACTAATACACTTGCAGAACGCGCTGCTGCTGCGTCGTCGCTGGCCGTTCTGCTTCTTGGCTGCCTTCTGCGGCTTTCCAAAAATGATTTTTTTCTCGCTTTTTTACACGCACTCAAATCGCGATAGTTTTTGTGGTTTTTATATAATTGATTAGAAATATTGCACTTTTGTTTATTTGAATATTACAATTAATTGCTATTTGATTTGTTTGCTACTCCTTTGCTCCGAAAACAAACACATGCATATTCAATTATATATATACATACACGAACTTTGTGGGAAACCGTTGCAATTTATTGCATTACACCTGTAAAACACTCGCGTTTATCATATTTTGTTATTTTTTTTACGCTATGCTAGCTTTGTTTGTAAACAAATAACAAAGTCGTAATTGTAAAATAATTAAACGGTGTTTTTGTCCGCCAACGTTTCAGCGCGTCCAACCCGCTCGATGTTGTTTTTGTAAATGTTGCTTATACATTTAAAATAAATGCAGCAGTGTGACCGCGAACGGCTAATACGAAATATACCAATTTTCGACGTAAGCGAAGGTGGTTCGCGTTTAAGTAGGCCGCAATAGTATCGATGCCTTATGTTAGTTAACAGTAAACGTGAATGTTATGTGAGGAGTAAACAGGGCTGTTAGGCTCAGCTGTTAGTTTCAGTCTCTGTTATTATAACAATTGCTTGCAATTTTGCTGGAATATTTTTCTACAAAATTTAAATTCAATTCTTAAATTTTTGTTAAAACAATCGATTTCTGTTAAAGATCAGTAAAATGTTATGCAAAAACATATGTTTTAGACGAACGACGTAAATGAATGTCATGCTGCGAAGTAGTTCAATTTAGCGAGCCAGTTCGTTCTTTTGGAACTGGTGCCCTCGTCGATCTTTTTACAATAATAAACATGTATTTAATTGCTTGCCTTAAGCTATAACAAAGGTATTTATATCCATGGAAGTATTAGGCTTTGCCCAATTGCACTAAATGCTGCAAATAAGCCTTGCGGCAGTCCATGTTGTCCGCCGGCCGATTGTGCGGGGCCCAAACGGGCTCACCAATAAAATACCGACGCGCTTTTATGTAGTTCTGTGGAAAGAATAATGTTAAGTGCGAGTCTTGAACTCGTTAAACTAATCTGACCTTGCTGTCCAGTGTGAAACGGTGGTAAATGCCCGCCGGAATAATAATCATATCCCCCTTAACCACCTCAATGCGCAGCCAGTTGTCCTCGCCGCTGTAAAATAAACAAACTGCCGATTAAAGCTCATCCTGAAGGGAAACTAGTACAAGTTGTATCCCTAATTTTGAAGGGTAACACTGGCAACACTTTTAGGCTATATGTATGTGTACTCACTCGCGCACATCAAAATAACCGGAACCATCGAGAACCAATCGAATTTCCTCATCCGTGTGCAAGTGTTCCGTGTAGAAGGCCTTCAGCTTGTTCAGGTAATCCGGCAGACATTGCTCGGAGCAGGTGATCTGCGGCAAAAGAAATATGAGTAAATGTTTATGCTTTGTAGCTGATCATCGTACCTGATCCTCGTAGGTGTAGCCACGTTTGGTGCGCAGATCTTTCAGCACCTCATCGTTCTCATGGTCGTCGGCATTGATCTACAAAAGGGAAAACAACGTGAAGATAAGCGCGACTTTGCCAAGGTCGTTGCGCATTTGGCTTACCTGAAAGTACTCCACGCCGGTTTTCTTATAGAGTGTCGCCAGATCCAAGTAGGTGGGTGGATTCCGCTTGTGCTCCAGTCGCTGATCGCTGTCATCGCTGTCCATAAACCACACCTGCACCATTCTAAATCGATGGCTTTATCTTTCCGTCTCGTTCAACGTTCTGAGCAGGTTCGTTCACGACTGAACGAAGAAACCAGCTCGTTCATTTGATTCGCTCGTTCAATTTTTAACCCAGTATTAACAAATGAACTTGGTGTTCATTAAATTCAATTAATTCCCATTATTTAAAAACAAACGGTTACAACTTGAATAAAATATTTGGTACCCGTATTACAATATAAGTACCATTATCATACATATATGGGTATTTTTAATTTCCTGTTTTAATTTGCAGATGAATAAGCGGAATGAGATAGACTTAACCAAGAAAGATACTTACATTTGCATTCCCATTGGTAATGTATTCTGGTATGAATAAGGGACATTGGCCAACATTGATATTTACATTTGCATTCCCATTATTTATGTTGCATTCTAGTGTTAACTTATATTTTAACTTCTGCGTTTCATATTTTACTGCAAAACATATTCAAAATATAAAATTTTTGCATTTGTATTTTAAATGCAGTTTAATAATTTAAAAACAAAATACCATTTTTTTTTACCATTCAATTCGATTAATTCCCATTATTAAACGAACTGTTAAAAAAATACCATTATTTTTGTATATCTACCACAAATGATCTTCGTTCAGTTGAGTGTGTGTGGTTCTAGTTCATTTAGTTCCTTCGTTCAAAGAAATGAACGAAGTCCCGCTATCGTACAGTTCGTTCGCTTTACAGTAATTTCGTTTCCTTGCAGACATATTGTTTGTTCTCTTTTGTTCGAATATATTTTACACAAACAAATCAAAGAGAAATGGAATTCAAATGAAAGAAAACACAAAATGTTGTCAACTTGCCCAAGCTGTCAAAATCGAGGTGATGTTTGCGCCATCATTCGGAATATTTTACACACATTGAATTCTCGAACAAAATTAACAACAAAAATTTTTCGTTTTCAAAATTTTTGCAGTAATTAAAAAAAAAGTATGATGTCGCTACGTTTGACCCGCGGTATATTAAAGAATAATGCAATTAGAAGTTACAGTCGAGCGCCCTGTGAAATAATTGAGATATTGGAATCGGGCTTCGAGACATTGTCGCAATCCAAATCGAAATCGCTGTTGAAAAAGCATTTGACCCGAGAGATTCTCGATAAGATCAAGACAAAGGTAACGCCCTCGTACTGCTCGACGCTGTTGGACTGCATCCAGTCCGGATTGTGCAATCACGATTCGGGCGTTGGCATCTATGCGCCCGATCCGGAGGCATATTCGACATTTTCGGAACTCTTCGATCCGATTATCGAGGACTATCACAAGGGTTTCAAGAAAGCTGATAAGCATCCGGCCACATGTTTTGGCTACGGTTCCGATTTTCCCAATCTCGATCCGGAGGAGCGATTCATTGTGTCGACGCGCGTCCGTTGCGGTCGCTCCCTTAAGGATTTCCCCTTCAATCCCTGCCTGACCAAGAAGGACTATCGCCACCTGGAATGCATGATCACCAAAGTCTTAAAGACGCTATGCAACGATCATGCCGGCAAATATTTGCCGCTCAGCTGCATGGAGCCGGAGCAACAGCAGAAGCTCATCGACGAACATCTGCTGTTCAAGGAGGGCGATCGCTTTCTGCAGGACGCGAACGCGTCGCGCTTCTGGCCGACGGGACGCGGCATATTCATCAACAAGAACCGCACGTTTCTCGTGTGGGTCAACGAGGAGGATCACATCCGTGTCATATCCATGGAGAAGGGCGGCGACCTGGGCCGAGTCTACGAGCGCATGATCATCGGCGTCGAGTCGCTGGCGCATTCGCTCAAATTCAGCCACGACAAGCGCCTGGGCTATCTCACCTTCTGTCCCTCCAATCTGGGCACCACCATTCGCGCCTCCGTGCACATCAAGCTGCCCAATCTGGGCGCCGACAGGGCCAAGCTCGAAGAGCTGGCCAACAAATACAATCTGCAGGTGCGCGGCACCGCCGGCGAGCACTCCGAGGCCAAGGGCGGCGTCTATGACATCTCCAATAAGCGGCGCTTGGGCCTCACCGAATACCAGGTCGTCCTCGAGATGCACAAGGGCATCAGCGCCCTGATCGATGCCGAGTGCCAGGCGGGCTCTCAAAAATAATCATACCCTTATTTGTTATCAATACTTTTTCCAGCTGCAACTGTCGATCATTTTAGCCAGCATAATAAATAGTGTATATTAAAGGACTTGCAGTTCGGACCGCTATATTATCATATAACTAACTAACGTTGAAAGACGATGAGAGCTTTTCTATAAAATGCAAATAGCTTCATTTTCAAGCTCCAGTTAACTGCTAACATCCGTAAATCCTTTAATAATCGGACTATAATATCATATACATGAATACATACATACATACATACATATATACATACATACTTACATACATACATACATACATACATACGTACATACATACATACATACATACGTACATACATACATACATACAAACATACGTACACACATACATACATACATACATACATACTTACATACATACGTACGTACATACGTACGTACATACGTACATACGTACGTACATACACACATACACACATACATACATAGATACATATATACACACAAACATACATACATACATACATACTTACATACATACATACATACATATATACATACATACATATGTACACACATACATACATACATGCATTCGTCTACATACATACATCTACATACTCACATTCGTCTACATACATATCTACATACCCGCCCACCTCCTCCTGCACAGCCGCCTCCTGCTCCACCGCCTCCTCCACAGTTGCTCCTCCACAGCCGTTGGAGCCAACGTTTGCTGGCTTGTTGAATTTAAGCAAGGCCTACTTGAATTCTTGAGAATCGAGGAGGACAGCACCTGGCAGAAATTCGTTTTATTTAAAGCTGCAGCACAGCGACAAATAGGCTTGGTCTGCGTTTGGTATTAGAAAACAAAGCATGCATGCATACATATAGACATACTTACATATGATATATGCATATATACATATACATATAGATATACATACATATATATATGCACATAGATATATACATACCAATATGCATACATACATACATCAGTACGCATATCCGTACACATGTACACATGTACAACACACACACACACATACATACATAAATAATACATAATACATACACATATGCATATACAATACATATACATACACGTACACATAAATACATACATACATAAGAACATCCTTCCGCTTATTAATATCTTATTTGCATTCTTTATAATAGTTATTTAAACTTTTTTCTTGTTTTTTTTTCTCAAGCTTAAACACGACACTATTTTTTTTTTTGTATTTTTTTATTATATTTTTTTTTATAATTTTAATTCTTTTATAAACTTAAGACTTAAATAAAAGTATTTAAAGTTTTCTTTTTTGTTGGTTGTTTTTTTGCTTGACACAAATGCCAAAATGTTTTACATTCTTTTGTTTATATTTTAAGCAAATATTTTTTTGTGAAATAGTTTTCCATTGTTGTTGTTGTTGTTGTTGTTGTTGGTGGTTGAGTAAGCAGAGCAGCAGCAGCAGAGCCTGGTTATTGCAGCCGGACCTGGCCGCGACTCTCCGAGTCCAAGTAGACGACAAATGCCGAGATGCCGCAGGCAGCCGGATATTGGCCGGGGAACAAATCCTACTACTTGCGCTACGAATCCTACTACAAACTAAAGCAAACGCACAGCCGGAAGGGCTGCAGATTTCCAACTGGATTAAATGGGACTCCGCCCGAAAGGATGTTGTGTGTGTGTGTGGGACATCGGTTGTTGTTGGTCCGGCGGAGGAGTCCGTGTGGTTGTGTGGACAGACAACAGCTTACAAGCTCTTCTCGAGCTTGATCAGCTCGGTGATGCCGTCGTACATCTCCTTGACGGCCTGGTATTCGGTGAGGCCCATGCGACGCTTGTTGGAGATGTCATAGACACCGCCCTCGGCCTCGGTGTGCTCGCCGCGAGTGCCGCGCACCTGGAGATTGTATTTGGCGGCGACCTCCTCGAGCTTGGCCTTGTTGGAGGCCAGCTTGGGCACCTTGATGTGCACGGAGGCACGAATGGTGGTGCCCAAATTGGTGGGGCAGAAGGTCAAGAAGCCGAGACGATCATCGTGGCTGAATGGGACACGCTTCTCGATCTCGTTGACGGCGGTGACCAGACGGCGATAGATTTCGCCAAGATCGCCGCCCTGCTGCATGGAAATGATGCGCAAATGATCCTCCTCATTGCACCAGACCAGGAAGGTCTTGTTGTCGTTGTGGTAGATGCCACGACCCGATGGCCAGTAACGGCAGGCGTTGGCCGCCTGCAGGAAGCGATCGCCCTCCTTGAACAGGAAGTGATCATCGATCAGCTGCTGCTGGACGGCCTTCTCCATGCCGGTCAGCGGATAGAATTTGCCCTTCAGCTCACCCTCCAGGCCGGACAGGGTGGTGCTCACCTTGCCCTCCATCTCCTTGTACTGGGCCTCGGTCAAGCAGGGGTTGAAGGGATAGCCCTGCATGGAGCGACCGCAACGGACACGAGTCGAGATCACATACTCGTTGGTGGGATCAACGTTGCCAAAGGTGCTGACATCACCGAAATTGGAGGCCGGATGCTTGTCGGTCTTCTTGAAGCCACCATGGTAGTCCTCGATAATGGGATCGAACAGATCGGCGAACACTGTATAGGCCTCGGCATCCGGCGCGTAGATGCCAACGCCCGAATCGTGATTCTCCAAACCGGACTGGATCACATCGAGGAGGGTCGACTTGAAGGTCGGGGTCACCTTGTTCTTTAGGTTGTCGAAGATCTCCTTGGTCAGGTACTTCTTCAACAGCGACTTCGAGTCGGAGGCGGCCAACTTGGCATAACCCTCCTCCAGTTTAGCGAGAACAGCGGCGTCAACCATGGTGTCTTGTTTGCTACAACAAAAAAGAAGCGCACAAAACGACGACAAATTGGTTAGTTAAAACCTTTTAAAAAGGGTAGACCTAACCTCAAAGTTGAATTATTTTAATTGTTTTTCTGATAGCATTTTTTATGACTTTTATTATAGATAATTAATTTTAGTATGTTACAGTTTAATTTATAGTATAAGAACAATTAATTTGCTCATTAAGAGTTCCAAGGCTTACGAATCAGACTTAACCTCAAAGTTGTTAATTTATCTATATATATATATACTATATGATCTTTTGGCTTTTTATGCGATGTATAGCTGAAGAACATTACATTTACAGTTTTATTCTTCAATTAAATTTGATTATCTCGTTCTGAGTAAAAAAATGTGAGAGAGAAATTTCGAATCAGACTTAACCTCAAAGTTGTTAATTTATTTATATACGATATTTCATCTTTTATCTTTATCTTTACAGTTTAATTCTTCAATTTAATCTGATTCTGCCGTTCTCAGCAAAAATTTCATTCACATTTTCGAATCAGATTTAACCTCAAAATTTTTACTATATCTGATTCTGCAAATATATTATGTTGATCTTTTATCTTTTTGGCGATGTGTGGCTTAAAAACTTTACAGTTTTATTCTTCAGTTCATTTTGATTGTCCCGCTCTGACAAAAGTTAGATAGATAATGAAAGATAGGACTTTCGAATCAGACTTAACCTCAAACTAAACATGTTAATATATCTAAATATATACTAAATGATCTTTTGTCTTTTTATCTTTATCTTTTCACATATATTCTCCAAATTAAACTAAATTGTCCTGTTTTGAGTTAAAAATGTGTAAGATAGGATCTTCGATTCGGATTTTAGTGTAATATGTCTTTTTGAAGAGGAATATTTTCGTTTAGGTTTTATTTTTGAATTAAATTCAAATTGAGCGGTTTAAGAGTTAAAAATTGAATGCTCTCGAATCGGTTTAAGCTAAAAATATTTACTTAAAATAAAAGTAATTTCTATTCTGATATTTTTTAGTTCAAAAACATTATCAAATTCATTTGGACGCGCCCCTCTTGTTTGAGGGCAAATACTGGTCTAGGTCTAGGGGTTGATTTAGTGGCTCGTTTCGTATGGTTTTTGGGTACTTTTAACCAATTGATGTCCTCTAACCCGCTGACCCTCCGCGTATTATTGCAATTGTGGCGCCCAAAAGTCGGCAATGGCTTTTCCGTTGGGCACGCGACAGAGCAATTTTAAAGCAATCCATTAAAAACGCCTCCCACACGCGGTGGTTGCTCCGCAATAATTGAGCTGTTGCGGGGGTGGGTGGAGCTGAGGGTGGTGCTGACAACATTTTTGCCGGCTGGCGCTGAATACGCACAGAACCCTGCCCTGACCCCGACTCCGGCTACGGCTGCGGCACATGCGCGCGTTGCCGTGTGCCCGGTTTTTGGCCTGGGCCCCGGTCAGAGACCAGGGCAATAATATTTGTATGCCACTTTGGTTTTTCGGGCAGCCTGACGTCAGCACTGGATACACACGCACACGTACAGGTCTAGGACCTATGACAAGCGCCACAAAATGGAATACACACCCATCCTGGCCAGCGGCATCTTGGTCTGCAGCCGCTGTGGCGGCGGCTCCGTTCGGCTCGCCGCCGCCGCCGTTGGCCGTGGCGGCCGCCTCGCCCTCGATCACTTTCTCCTTTTTATCCTTGGAGGCGCACAAACCCATTTTTGTTTTGGTAGTTTTTTTTTTAGTTGTTGTAAAAGTTGTTTGTAAAAAATTTGGCCTTGTCGCTTGGTCACAAAGGTTTTTTTTTGTTGGGAGTGTGTGTAAAAAGGTGCAGGTAAAATGAAATCACAATGCAGCTGCTTTTCCGCTTTTCCGCTTTTCCTTCTACTTTTCTATATATAAATCCGTAGTAGCTCACACACACATATGTACACGGCTAACACACACACACACAGACACACACACACGCTTAAATTGTATTGCTTTTGGTTAAGTTTTTGTTAAATATTTTTGTTTGATTTTTTGTTTTTTTTTTTTGGTGGTTCGCTCGTCTTAAGTGCTGGGAATAATTAATAATCAAGAAATTTGATTTGATTTTTTTGCTTTCTTTTCTTTTCTTTTTTCACGTTTCTCGCTGCCGCGCCCAAAGGTATACTACGAGAGGCTACACTACTACACAGAACGTCTAGGCTACGACTAGAGGAGCAAAAAGGACGCGCGCGCTCGTGTTACAAGGTGCAAGCTGCTAAGGACCAAAACTGGCTGCTGACTAACACGGGCCACAAACACGGGCTGCCGGGTTCGATGGATTCACAGGATTCGATTCGGTTCGGTTCGGCTCGGGCAGAGAGACTCAATCGTTCGGGCTTGGCAAGGAACTGACGCGCCCAGGACGAGCAGCCAAATTCAGCGTAGGATTTAGCGAGAGAGAGAGAGAGAGAGAGAAAGAGAGAGAGCGGGCGAGGGCTTGTCCTGGCCGGGGTTGAAAGCTTAGCCTAGCCGCAGGCGCCGGCGGCGTGCAAAAAAAAAAAGAAAGGCAGAACTGTTGCCGGATGAGAGCGCAGCATTATGCGGAAGGATATATTTATACGGATGCGGAACAACCACCAGCAGCGGCTGCAGCAGCGGCAGCAAATCGATAAAGTTTGTGGCACGCGGCAGCTGAAAAATTGTTGCGCCTAAAAAGCAAGGGGCAGGGAGGAAGGGAGGGGGGGCTCAAGTCAACTTCAAGTGTGAAACGAGGGCTGCTAATGGCTTGACGGACGCCTCGAGTGCCGTGTGGCATGCGGCATGTGGCATGAAAATCACGGCCAGGCCAGCACCAAAAACGGGAGTAGAGTGTAGAGTGCACGTGCACTCGGCTCTAGACGAGTCTCCCCGTCTCGGCGTCGCATCCACGAGATACTTTTCACGCCTGTGCAGTGGCGCGTAACGAGAGGGAGGGAGAGGGGGAAGAGGGGGCTGCCGTTGCATGTCTGTGGCACATTATTTGTGCAATTTGATTTCGCTTTTGGTTTTGTTTCGGTTTTTTCAGAGTTTCAGTTTTCAAGTTGCCTAATTTGATTAGTCAGCCTCCTCCAGCGAATCTCTCGCGTGACTAATTTTGCTGCGGCTCTCCAGTGACTAATTCCCGCCCCCGCCCCCCCCCCCTGCCCCCCTCTACCACATCCCCCCCCTCAGCAAACTATTAGGCCAACAACTGCAAGCTGCGAATATTGATTTGAAATTGAAAACAATTTAGGTTCCCCCCCCTCCGCAACTAAGCCCCTGCCCAGGTAGTCGAGTTCTGACTAACGTTTAATAATATTTAATCAGTCTAAGCTGATTGCTAGAGTACAGCTAATTGGCACTATCTAGAAGCTATGTCAAAATAAAAAGAACTTAGTATAGTCCCATATATAAGACGTTATCTGTCGAATTTCCAGCATTATCTTTGCTGGCAGTCGACGGAAACGTGCACAAAAAGCAGATAATTTACAAAAGAGATCTTAGCTCGAAGAGGGTCTAAGGCAGTACAGTGGTCACTCGCTAGGTTGGACTAGCAGAAATTATATATAAATATATATTATATTATATATAATAAATGTATATATATTAAATGTATATGTATTATAATATATATTTTAAATGCATTTATTTGAAAATGTGATCTAGGAATCTTGTTTTTTCATTCATTTTTTAGTGCAACTTAATTTCTGTTGATTTTCTATCTTCCTCTCCCATTTTTCTATCTTCCTCTGGAGCTTAGCTTGAAAATGTTTCTAACTATAGCCTTTTACCTGATCTGTATGCAAATCTAGGTGTTTCTTTTTAATATACTATAAAAAGCACTGGCTACAGGGATCTTAAGTTCTGGCATTAGAACTTCTTATTGTAACTCTCACATTCTAATACGAAACTCGATAAAAGGTCTTCTCATTTGTGAGAGGGGGAGACCTTTTATCGGGATTCATATTTATTTATTAATGGTCCAGAAAAACGAGTGTCTTCCTAATTATTTAATACATTAAAATATGAAAATTAAATGCTTAAAGTCTAATTAGGGTACACAATTTTCTAATAGCATCAACGACACGATGGAGGTATAAGAATATGAGACTAACATACAGAAGCAAAGAAGCCTTATCCTAAGGAAACTCGATAAAAGGTTTCCTCTTCAAAGAAAACTGACCTCTAAACTTCTTTAAAGTCCTCCCCATGCTTTAATTAGGCTTCTTTAAGAAGCTCTACTGCGAATTCTGAAACAATTTGAGTGCTCAACTTCGCAGTTAAAAAGCCGAAGTCTATTTGCTATATAACATTTTTTTTAACATATTTCCCTTTAACCTCTAAAACAGAAAACGAATGGACTGCATTGCCTTTTCCTATGAAAGATCTGGACATTATCTTAGGTTGCAAACCAATTATTTCTCTTCGTTCTCACACTTAACTCATTTAATCTATTATCTAAAATTATTCGAGTGCTCAACTTGGTTGTAGAGAGCCAAAATTTAACTCATCTATAACAAATTTGAAGCACATTCCCTCCCTTTAAGAGCGCTCCTATTGCCTTTATCTTTGAAAGATCGTGACATTATATTAATATTTCCAATTATTTCTCTTCGTTTTCACTTTTCCCATTTAATCTATTATCGATTTAAACAATTTTGTCAATGTTTGTTGCGTTTGTCACTCATTTGGGGAATTTTGCTGTGGAAACTTTGAGGAGTCATATGAGAGGTGTTTCGTGTGTGTGATAATTGGCACATAAAGATAAGCTATTTTTTTTCTTCTATATATTTCTTTTTTTTGCACTGGTTTTTTAAGATTGTGGGCGGGTGGTGTTCGCCATCTTAGCGACAACGCCCCAGGCCGCAGGTAAAGTACTTGACGAGTGCAACAATTGCGCTGTCGCATTTGATGTAGCTGATATAGCCAGGTTTGGGCTTATTGCGCGGCTGTTAACGGCCAACTAATCAATTAACTCGAGTGTGCACAACATTCATGTCGCACAAACAGACTCTTCTCTCAAGGGGCTGGGCAGAGTCCTCAAGGCCCTGGCAACAAACTGCTGCTCGCTCGGCGGCACTTAAAAGCAACAGCAAATCGAATTAAGTTGGCACAATTGAAAAACTGATTGCATTAGATCCCCCCCTTTAAGTCCACTCGACAACCCTCAAGGCTAACAGAGGCAAGCGAGCAACGTGACAACCCTGGCAAAGAAAATAACAAGAAAACAAGAAAACAGGACGCAGCTTTAAACGTAATTATATTCATTTTCACGAGTTCACGAATGTGTTGAACATTTTCCATGATTTTAATATTTATATATGTATATCCTAATACAGTGAAAACTCTCCTGGGCGAACGCTCAAGTCTTTAGTTCTTTGTCCTCAAAATATATGTCGAGGCGAAAGCAAACATATGGAAAAATAAAAATTCAAACGTCTTTCTTTATGCTAGATATTGGACCTTCAATTTTAGTAAGGATTTTGTTAGTTTTTTAAGACTTCTTTTCCTCTCTTCATTTGATTCCTTTTCAAAAAGAAATGTGGAATTATTTTCTGGACATTTTTTTAAGGACTTTTTTCCTAAAGTTGGGTAAAGAAACTGTAAGTTGTTTTAAGATTTCCTTTCTTTCTTTATGTTATTCCCTTCCAAAAAAGTTGTTTCTTTCGTGCCAGGAATGACGAATTTTGCACAATATGGAATTATTTTCTGGAGATTTTTTGAATAGAACTTTTATCCTAAAGTTAAGGTTTTCGAGTTTTTAGCCTTTTATGAGGCAACTAAAAAAACTAGATGGGAATAGATTTTAGGAGATGGAAATTAAACTTTCAAAGATATTTGCTCTTTGAGCCTTGAGTTTGTCGCGTCGAGTTTTCACTGTATTGTTTGATATGCAAACATTTATTTAGCTGGTCTCAACTTTATGGCCAGGAATTGCGAATAACGCGAACGCGCGCACTGTATTAACGCGATTGAAATTGGCAACTGTTAACGGTTAACTGTGATACGCGAATGTTGCATGAAGTTTGCAAATGCGAAAGCAAACGCAGTCAGAGAGAGAGCAAAAGAGAGAGGGAGAGCGAAAGAGAGAGAGGGAGAGCGGCGTCAGCTGATAAGCCGCAAAAGATTGTGGCTGCAGTTGCCGGCTCGAAGCGTCAAGTTGAATCGCACAAACAGCTGGCGAAACGGATAAGATATATTTAACTTGGCCAACTCAACGAAAAGTTTGGCTAAATATGTGCTTCTATAAGTCACAAAATTGGCAAAAGCCAGACGGAAAGACAGACAGCCCAGACAGGCAGTAACTGGAATACAAGTCAAGAGGGGTCGACTAGGGACTACCCTGTACCTGGTTTATACATGCACACATGCATACACACATGCAGCAGCAACTGTGCTTCTTCTTTCGACTCCACTCCACTCCGTATATTTGTTCTTATATAACTCGGGTCTTTGTGTCCCGTGTGCTTCTTCTTCCCACTCCACTCCACATTGTCGTATATTTGTTCTTATGTAACTCGGGTCTTTGTATTCCGATCTTTATAAAATTTATGGAGCTTTGATAAGGCATCTAAATGTGTGCATGTCCCGAAGCACAAGGCTATAACTTTAAAAGTAAGCTTTCTTTTTATATTTGTAAGGAATGGCTGGAAGTATCCAGAGCGTGATCCATTTGGGCCCTGAGTGTATTTAAAGCTAACTGGCTTTAAAGCCCAAACTGTTGCCTCTACCTCCTATAATCCTCGAGTTTTGCTTAAAATAAAACTCGATCCTAAATTAGTTTATCCCTATTTTTAAACAAATAAAGGGCAGATATCGAAAGATAAATATTATCTGCTTAAAATCTTTGATCTCCTGCGCTGCGCGCTTCAAGGAGACAAAGTCGTTTATATAATTATACTAGCGTCGAGAAAATTAAATATTTTATTAAAATTGTAGAGTTTACTATTCAGCATTCAGTTTCGATATGAGAGTCGGGTAAGAAGTTTACATCGACTCGTCCTGATCAAAAAACTTGTATACCCTCCTATTAATCTATTTTCAATTTATACAGGGTATTATGAAAGCGAAAGCCTGGCCAAGAATCGCTTGGAGCTGCAGCCAAAATGCAATTGCTTGCTGCAATTTTCAGTTTATGGCCAAGTCGAATGGGTTATTGAACCGAGACCCGATGAGGGAGGGGGGGGGGGGCCTCCCCCTTTCCCCTCGCTAACAAACCATGTGTGTGACTTAATTGCAAAACTTTGGACCATGCTGCGCTTTTGGACAGGCTATTGCACAAAGAAATTGGCAGTCGGTCCGCTTGGCTGGAAATGCGCAAAGTGCTTTTGGCCAACGACATTGACATGGCCCAAAACGTGCGCAAATGCAAACGGGAAATTGCATGAAAACCAGTCGAAAATCGAAAACAGTTTGATGACAGCCACCAGACGACGTTTAGCTATGGCATAATCTAGTCGAGCAAACTTGGCTATCAAATGAGTATTATTTTTTACAATCGATCGTTATTAACATAATTATATAGTTATGTAATATGCAATATATGTAATGATTATGTAATATATTGTTAGCCATGCTAATTAGATTTTGCTTTTATATCAGGACTAGGACTAATGAAACTCGGCGAAGTTTTAAAAACAAAGTTGTTACTCAGCCTAAAATAAGTTTGTGGTCGATTAAATAAAACAAAAAAAACAGTTGTAGAAACAAAAGTTTACAGATTTTTCGATCAACTTCTTAAAAGTACCCGCTGAAGATTCATTTAATCCGAAATATCGAGCTACCTAATTAATGCTGATGATATACATAAGCATGGTTGGCCCTCATGCGAGATACTTAAGCTACCCCCAAAAAAAAAAACCAGCACGGGATTAGGTCTGGGAAACTAAACCAAATATGAGGGAGAAGTGAGCAGGGCGCGCCCGCATTATTCAAGTGCTGGGCATTATATTTACGAATATATATTCATATATATGTATATAAATATATGTACATTGTGTATTGCTTTGCTAATTTAATTAAAATTCTTTTGGCGAATGCTCAATGAGGCAGCTATATTATATTTTAGATACGGAGCGGGTTGGGTTAACATTATTGAGGCCCATGTTTATGTATTATTTCGTCTTGGGCTGTGGCAAGTGTTGGGCAATGAAATTCGCTAGAAATTTGCCCGGATGTCGTTGATTTATAAATTTTAGCTGTCTGCGAAGACAATCAACGAATAAATGTGGCAGACGCGACAGTCATTTGGCTGTGGCAACAACAACAGCAGCAGCAGCAGCAGCAGCAGCAGCAACAACAGCACAGCTATCGCTGTTACTGTAGCTGTAACTGTTAAGCCTCAGCGCTGTTAATAACAGTTGATGTTAAAAATAGTTAGCTTTGCAAGCAGCGCAAGCTTTTAACCAGTGAAAGCTGTCGTAAAGTGGCGCACGCTAAAAGTCCTGTGCTGGCAAAAGCTTGCACGGAAGCTTTTAGCAATGCCTGCTGCTGCTGTTACAGTAGCGGTCAAAATATTGTGCTCGCTGTTTGATTTGTTTACATTTTACTTGATATAGCACCGTTTTGTTTATTTGTTTTGTGGCGCTGCCAATGTATTGTGAATCAAATCAGGCGACACAGACACACACACACACACACACACACACATATTGTATTTTGCCTAGTTGGCAGTTTTGGGGTTGGAATAGAGCGGGGGTGAGACGGGGGCAATTTCATTTCCTGTCTAGCCAAATTGAGCCCAACCCCTTTTGGTGATTATGCAACTTGACAGTTAGTTAACAAGTGGAGCAGCCTTTTGTTTAAGCCGGCGTTGCTTTGTAATGAGAGAATTGGAAAAATCGCTTGACTTTTCCAATCTAACGCATTGTCACGCGTTAATCATGAGTTGTCGCAGCAAAGCGGCAATTTTCCTAGTTTGCGCTGTGCGCTATTTTTTCTTTATATGTACATTTTCGCTTTAATGGATTTCAATTGAATAATTAACAACAACGTGCCAGCGGCTGGGCCAGCAATTTGTACAACAAATTTGCGCGAGTTGCGAAAAAAGAAAAACAACAACAGATAAATAAACTAAACTAAACACAAGTGAAAATTTTCCCAAACAATTGGAAATTCTATTTTTTAGCTGTCAGCTGGATAATATTTCGCCAGCGGCTATAAATATATGCGCAGGTATCGATTCTAGCCCCCCCTAGTTAAATGCCCTATAATTTATATATATGCATATATATATAATGTATGTATATATATAGAGCTGTGTATCTGCTTGGCCTTTGTTTATTTGAAAACGTTTTCGTTATGCCTGTATTTTTAGCAGCCGGCATTATATCAGGCCGCAACTAAGGCAACGGCTGCTTACTAAAATTAGCCTGCCAAAGGTATTTCGAATGGGGCTGTCAAACTGTAAGCTCTTATATAACCGGGACATAGGAAGAGTCTGGACTGCAATTGCAGGCGGTGCACGGGTTCATTCAACTAATTGTTAGGCTAAGCAAAACTCTAACGACTGTTAACTTGGCTAATGTGCGGCAGATACAATATCTTTGTGCGATAAGCGATTATGCAACGCGTTCGGCAATGACCGCGAAATACATTGTTTTTTTTTGTGGTTCAGTAGAACCGCTTCTAGACACAAGTTCAAGGCGAATTCGCTATGCTAGTTGCCAGCTGGGGAGGTGGGGGTGTGGCAGGTGAGCCACAGCGAAGACCGCCAAATGCTGACAACGTTTTTTTTTTGTATTATTTAAGTTTTTTTTTCGTTTTTGGCAACAGCCATCGACAAGCTCTTATCGTTTGGCACTAGTCGCAATTAACGCTGTTTTTTTTTTTCGTTATCTTTTCAGATAGTTGCTATTTTTTCTCTTTTTTGTTCTCGGGTACAGTTACAAAATTGCAGCCGAGCTCAACGGTTGCACAGCCGCTGCGTATCCGCTGAAAAGCTGCCCTCAGTGCAAAAACCAGTTTTTGCAATTGCAGGCGGCTCAAAAAACAAGAAGAAGCAAAGTTTAAGTGCCAACCAAATATGGGTATACAGCCATAAAATGCTGACCGTTTTTTTTTTAGATTTATATATTTTTTTTATTTTCATGCCGGTAACCGGTTTGGCTGCGCTTTTGGCGCATGCAAAATAAAAACGGCAAACTGCACTTTTGAAGTGACTCAATTTTACATAAGTCGTAAAAATGTTATTGAGAATCGGTCACACAGCACGTATCGTTGCCTGGTCACACATTCTTTTATTTTCTTTCCAAAATGCTGCTAAACTTTTAGGCGCCACAACAACAACAACACTTAACTTAATTTTATAAAAAATATTTATAATAATTTTATCACAGCATATGCACTGGATTTATTTGGATTTATTGTTTCTTATTTTCTTTGGAGAACGGCTCACCTTTGCAACCGTAGAATTCAACGTCCAACGTTACAATGATCAGAAAGTTTTGTTCTTTGGCTCAGCTGCAGTCGGCTGTCAGTCGGGCACCGGCAGCGACGCAGGCAGCAGCAGCAGCAGCAGTAGCGCAGCGCCGACAAGCGGCACCCTTCTTCTTTCACTTTCAAACTATTCAACGACACAAGCAACACACAGACAGATGCGAGCGCAGCCGGCAGCGAGAAAGAGAGACGAGCAAAAAGCTTTGCAGTGGTATTTTAAATGTGTTCATGTGACTGTGTGTGAGGCCTGCCTCCTGCTACGCTGGCGTCGCTGCCTGCTGTTGCTGCTGCTACTGTACGCATGTATTGGTAGCCTGGCAACTGGCAATTGACGTAGGACGTGACGTATGGCAAAATGGAAAAGCTTCACTTTTTATTCATAAAATGCGAGCGCAAAAGAGCGCGAATGCTTAACGGTAGAAAGCTCAGCAGACAGCAAGTGGAAGCAGTGCGGCCGATGCCATGTTGTCTGGTGTAAATGTATGCAAAAAGGAAAGTGTTCGCAACAATGCAACTTGCATGCGTGTGGGTGGGTGTGTGTGTGAGTGAGTGAGAGAGAGGGAGAGGTAAGCAGCGCCTTGCAACTAACTGCATACATATACAATTTTATGGTACAGTTAGCGGCAGCGCTTGTCTGTCGCCGACTGCAGCGGCAGCGACAGCGGATTATATAGCCACAGCCTATATGGGGGCGTGCTGCTGCTTGTGTTGGTGACTGAGCAGAGTTAACGGTGCCTGCCTCACATGACACACAGCCTTTGCTACATTCACGCACACACACACATATGCACGCGCAAACATTGCTTAATTATTGAGGAACACTAACACATACATATTTACATTTAATTTATAACGACACTCGCCTCAATGAGTAGTTATAGGGCTGCGCCCGTGACGAACCTGACGAAAGTAATCAA